AGACAGTTATATGCCATGCGTGATACACGCTTAGGCGATACAAGGCAGATTTCTTCCCGCAGTAGGTTGCCATTTCAGACCAGCTGCCATACAAGACTATAGAGCCCGGTGGTATTGGCACGTAAGTGAATGTAACGGATTCGACTGGAATTCGAACACGGCTCTCCGATTCCTCAGTCTAAGCCTTTACCCATTACTCCACCGTGCCTCCTAACAAACTGTAATATCCATCTATATTTCGATATATTTCTACACTATTTACATTGTTAAGACTATTTTCCCCATCTTTATTATCATATTAGCGAAATTCCACTGGGGATATACGTTGGAAGGTCGAACCAAATCCTTTATTTCGTCCACCGGGGTAAATTGTTCTAGTTCCACATGCTATGCCTTTTTTTTGATATTTCAGTTTCAGTTATCTACCTTTAGTTACTCAACTCTCAAAGTTTTTATTCACCTCTGCTGTGGCCAGATGTTGAACTCACAACGATTTGGGTCAAATCACTTCAACCAACGTTTTTATCCACTGGGCTATGTGTCCTTGGGGAATATGGCACTAAACATGAGGACAATAGTCCAAACAATGTAAATAAAAACCTGTAGAAGAAATGCTTTGACAGACTCTAACCTTTCTTGCTAGCTTACCAAGTATTTTTGAATTCCATCAAAACTGTTCTCATTTTGTACAGGGATTTATGATTTTTAACCTCATGAAACGATGTACATATGACATCTTTTGATGATTCTAGCTTTCCTGAATTTTTTGTTTACTTGTTTTTGGTTTGACCTACATCTTGCGTTTTGAAATCATAATCGACAACTTTTTCTTCCGTTTTCATTGACAGAATCAATGAAGGTAATCAAAACTAACAACAAAAAAAAAATGAACCTCTTAGATCAACTAATATGTGTTTTTTTTTTTATAAAGGGGAGGGGCAATCATGGCTCGTCATATCTTCCTTTTCTTTAATATGTGTGAATTGCCATGACTTGTGAAAGACAGTGAAGTAATTTCTCGTCGATTTCTCTACGGTTTTGAAATCTGAGTTGTTCTGCTAGGCTAGCAGTTACTCAAGGCTTGAGAGTTGAGTCTGCTCTGCTATTTAATCCATAGTTGGGGATACAAGAGATGGATTCTAAAGGGAATTTGATCAAAAGAGAACGCAATAAAGTGGATCAGAATTTGAATTCTGTTCGCTGATTACTCTTTCTGTACCAATAACAGTAATACATAAAAAAGTTGTTATTATCTTTCGACGCGGAATTAATACGCCATATCCTTGTATTATGTTATTCAACAGAAGAGGAAAGGGTTTATCTTAAAGGACCAAGATGCTCAAAACAATTTTCGCTTTTTATAAGTTACTTCATTACTTTATTATTCATTCTGTTGATTTTTTTTTCATGCTGAGAATACTGAGGGGAGACATGTATATAATGAGGAACTTGTTAAGGGTGGTAGGAACGAAAAGAACATATGCTTACAATAAAAAAGAGACAATTGGAATTTCAATGATGCATAATGAAAAAAGTGGAGACTTTAACATTTACATGACATATTGAAGGCTGGAGTTACAGAGGGAAACTGCGAATAACCTAGTTAATGATTTCGTGCAAAGAGATGGCAAAGCGAAGAATTAGAGAGAAGTCATGATGAAAAATGATGCTTAAAGCTACAAAGAATTGGTAGTTGTAGAGAGTCATGATCTTTCACGTACTGAATGGACAAAACACAGCACACCTTTTTGTTTGTTTTCTTTCATTTATTAGTTCTTTTCATTAATTGTTTAATAACATTCATTTTTTCTTTTCTCGCCTTATCCGTTTCTTTCTATATCTGTCTATATCTTTGAGATAAGGTATGGTTACTAACATTATTCGGACTGTTATCCTCATTGTCATATTCTTTCTATATCTGTCTATATCTCTGAGATAAGGTATGATTACTAACATTATTCGGACTGTTATCCTCATTGTCATATTCTTTCTATATCTGTCTATATCTCTGAGATAAGGTATGATTACTAACATTATTGATTATCCTCATTGTCATATTCTTTCTATATTGTCTATATCTCTGAGATAAGGTATGATTACTAACATTATTCGGACTGTTATCCCATTGTCATATTCTTTCTATATCTGTCTATATCTCTGAGATAAGGTATTTCATTATTCGGACTGTTATCATTGTCATATTCTTTCTATATCTGTCTATATCTCTGAGATAAGGTATGATTACTAACATTATTCGGACTGTTATCCTCATTGTCATATTCTTTTCTATATCTGTCTATTCGTATGATTACTAACATTATTCGGACTGTTATCCTCATTGTCATATTCTTTCTATATCTGTCTATATCTCTGAGATAAGGTATGATTACTAATATTATTCGGACTGTTTCCTCATTGTCATATTCTTTCTATATTTCTATATCTGTCTATATCTCTGAGATAAGGTATGATTACTAACATTATTCGGACTGTTATCCTCATTGTCATATTCTTTCTATATCTGTCTATATCTCTGAGATAAGGTATCATTATTCGGACTGTTATCCTCATTGTCATATTCTTTATATCTGTCTATATCTCTGAGATAAGGTATGATTACTAACATTATTCGGACTGTTATCCTCATTGTCATATTCTTTCTATATCTGTCTATATCTCTGAGATAATGTATGATTATAACATTATTCGGACTGTTATCCTCATTGTCATATTCTTTCTATATCTGTCTATATCTCTGATTAATGTATGATTACTAACATTATTCGGACTGTTATCCTCATTGTCATATTCTTTCTATATCTGTCTATATCTCTGAGATAATGTATGATTACTAACATTATTCGGACTGTTATCCTCATTGTCATATTCTTTCTATATCTGTCTATATCTCTGAGATAAGGTATGATTACTAACATTATTCGGACTGTTATCCTCATTGTCATATTCTTTCTATATCTGTCTATATCTCTGAGATTGATTACTAACATTATTCGGACTGTTATCCTCATTTGTCATATTCTTTTCTATATCTGTCTATATCTCTGAGATAAGGTATGATTACTAACATTATTCGGACTGTTATCCTCATTGTCATATTCTTTCTATATCTGTCTATATCTCTGAGATAAGGTATGATTACTAACATTATTCGGACTGTTATCCTCATTGTCATATTCTTTCTATATCTGTCTATATCTCTGAGATAAGGTATGATTACTAACATTATTCGGACTGTTATCCTCATTGTCATATTCTTTCTATATCTGTCTATATCTCTGAGATAAGGTATGATTACTAACATTATTCGGACTGTTATCCTCATTGTCATATTCTTTCTATATCTGTCTATATCTCTGAGATAAGGTATGATTACTAACATTATTCGGACTGTTATCCTCATTGTCATATTCTTTCTATATATCTATATCTGAGATAAGGTATGATTACTAACATTATTCGGACTGTTATCCTCATTGTCATATTCTTTCTATATCTGTCTATATCTCTGAGATAAGGTATGATTACTAACATTATTCGGACTGTTATCCTCATTGTCATATTCTTTCTATATCTGTCTATATCTCTGAGATAAGGTATGATTACTAACATTATTCGGACTGTTATCCTCATTGTCACATTCTTTCTATATCTGTCTATATCTCTGAGATAAGGTATGATTACTAACATTATTCGGACTGTTATCCTCATTGTCATATTCTTTCTATATCTGTCTATATCTCTGAGATAAGGTATGATTACTAACATTATTCGGACTGTTATCCTCATTGTCATATTCTTTCTATATCTGTCTATATCTCTGAGATAATGTATGATTACTAACATTATTCGGACTGTTATCCTCATTGTCATATTCTTTCTATATCTGTCTATATCTCTGAGATAAGGTATGATTACTAACATTATTCGGACTGTTATCCTCATTGTCATATTCTTTCTATATCTGTCTATATCTCTGAGATAAGGTATGATTACTAACATTATTCGGACTGTTATCCTCATTGTCATATTCTTTCTATATCTGTCTATATCTCTGAGATAAGGTATGATTACTAACATTATTCGGACTGTTATCCTCATTGTCATATTCTTTCTATATCTGTCTATATCTCTGAGATAAAGTATGATTACTAACATTATTCGGACTGTTATCCTCATTGTCATATTCTTTCTATATCTGTCTATATCTCTGAGATAAGGTATGATTACTAACATTATTCGGACTGTTATCCTCATTGTCATATTCTTTCTATATCTGTCTATATCTCTGAGATAAGGTATGATTACTAACATTATTCGGACTGTTATCCTCATTGTCATATTCTTTCTATATCTGTCTATATCTCTGAGATAAGGTATGATTACTAACATTATTCGGACTGTTATCCTCATTGTCATATTCTTTCTATATCTGTCTATATCTATATCTGTCTATATCTCTGAGATAAGGTATGATTACTAACATTATTCGGACTGTTATCCTCATTGTCATATTCTTTCTATATCTGTCTATATCTCTGAGATTATGATTACTAACATTATTCGGACTGTTATCCTCATTGTCATATTCTTTCTATATCTGTCTATATCTCTGAGATAAGGTATGATTACTAACATTATTCGGACTGTTATCCTCATTGTCATATTCTTTCTATATCTGTCTATATCTCTGAGATAAGGTATGATTACTAACATTATTCGGACTGTTATTCTCATTGTGATATTCACAACGTTTCGTTGTACGTTTCGGCATTCTTCAGATGATTGGAAGTTCGAACCGAATCCGTTATTTCGTCCACTTGGCGTATATTGTTCTAGTTCCAAATGCCATACCTCTTCCGGATGTCTCAGTTATTTTCCTTTAACTCAAATCTCCAAGTTTTTGTTTAACACTGCTGTAGCCTGGTACTGAACTCACAACTGGATCTAACCAACGTCTTTATCCACTGGGCCATGTGTCCATGTGTGGTTTCTTTTTGTCTTTATTTTCTTTCATCTCTTTTTTTAACTTCTTATTTTCTAGTATATCATTATTTTTCGCATTCTTTCTTTTTTCTTCTACTCGTTATTCTTTTTTCGCTTCTCTCACCTTATCTCTCATTTTTGTCTTTTTTCTCTTTCATTTTTTGCCAGTTTTTTTTCTCGTCTACATTTTCTCGCTTCCTTTTCATTCTTCTTTCTTTTTATCCTATCTTACATCTTTGTATTTCTCTCTCTTTTTTCTTTCACTTTACCATTTTCTTTTTTTTTCTCCTTCTTTCCATTTTTACCTATTATTTCCTTCCCTTCCCCCCATCTCCTTTTTTCTCTCTTTTACTCAATATCCATTTCTCTCATCTCTTTCCTCTTTCATTTTCTCTTCAATCCTCCCCACTTTCTCTTCGTTAGGACAAAGTATGTTCTTTTTTTATTTATTTCCTCTTAATTATTTCTTTCTTTTTTATCAAATTCAATTTTCTATTATGATTTTTTCATAATCATATCCTTCACTATTTTTTTTCTTTCTTATAACTTTGACACTTTTGAGGTTCGCTTGCAACAATGATTATCTTTGTTTTCTCGGCGCCAATATGGTTTACCACCCAGGATGCCTTTCGCCGGAAGTGACCAAAAAGCCTTCAATGTTTTATCTTTGAATAAACAAAACAGCTTATATTTCGTTTTGGTATTTAACCTCACTGCCGCAAACCACTCTATACATCGTTTATTATCTTCTGTTGTCCATTCCCATATTCGTGTTAGCACCCAAGAGGACATTACCTCTACCTCTTAATCTGTTATAAAACACAGGAAATTTGTTGTTGCTGTTAATGGCAATCATAGCAGAGAGACAGGACAAGAGCGAAGAGCCACAGAGTAAAATGTCTAAATCTTTGATTACTTGAAGTGTACGACAGAATTTAATAAATATTTCTTAATTTTAATGCATTATCAAAATACACTATTTTGACAGTTGTATACATTGAAAATGTACAGTAAATATATTTTATTTCAATGCTGCGAATTTCACAAGTACAGAAACAAATGTGACGTTCTTCGTAGACAAATTCGTTTTTTTGATGTAATCAACAAATTCACAATAAAACAGACGTTAAATGCAATTTTATTGCATTGTCAGGTCTGCTGTCGCTAATATTCATCCACATCGTTCGTACACAATACACACATACACATACACACATATGTATATAGTATGGACATAGGAATCGACGCGGCATGGTGATTGTCAATTTCACGCTTCAGTGCAATCTTCAGACTAAGTGTAATTACTCTTTTAGCGGGCTGTATATATATTCATGTAAGATGAACTTGAATCAGATATTCAACTATTTTTGTTTAATTATGGACCTGAAATCAGGAAAATAGACCGACATAGAGAAAATAATCCAAATATTCATAACAAAAAATCCACGTTGGTCTTTAACCAAGCACACACACATATATTTGTATAGAGACATATCTATCTATCTATCTATCTATCTATCTATCTATCTATCTATCTATCTATCTATCTATCTATCTATCTGTCTGTCTTTTAGGGTGTGCTAAAAACTTCTTGGTACGTCCAAGAAAGGATTACAACAGAAATTCTTATATTTGGTAATTTGAACTGATTTTCAAAATTAAGTTGGTCATAAATTATTCATCATCCCTTCATACATAGAAACATAGATACATATATATATATATATATATATATATATATATATATATATATATATATATATATATATATATATATATATATGCTTACCAGTATAAGTAACTAGGTACCCTTTTTATTTGCATCCCATTTCTTTACTTTATCAAACCTCAAAACTATAAAGCACAAAATAAAATACATTACCAACAACATTCCACCCGGCCAACCAGAAAAAAAGGAAAAAAAATACATATTCCCAGGAAACCATCCGACTCTTACAAATAAAAAAAAACAGATTATGGCTTATTTTGGATACAAAGTAAAAAAAAAAATGTATCAGGAGGTGTATTTTTTAAATATGACATTTCAGCAAATCCACTTACATTTGTTCAAAATCTAGAAACGTGGAAATATTGAACAAACTGAAAAATAACATCGTCATGTAATCCAGATGATGAAAAATACGAGCACACACGTCGGAGTTAGCAAATCTTTTTTCTGTCTTTTCAGCGATTAAAAATGGAAACTATAAAATGTACGACAAACTTTGCATAATCAAACTGATGACTTAACTTTTTACTTACCGAAGGAATTTGCATTGTAAGTTAATATTCATCTTCCTCCATTTGCTTAAAAAAAAAAAAAAAAAAAAACATCCATTCACATTAATTTCTCATGTCATTTCTTATATTTGCCGTCTTCCTTCGGGCTTTAGCCAATCACTGTTCTCTACAGCTTCCTATTCTCTAAAATGATTTATCCCCATACTATTCACCCCCACAGTCCCTGTTTTTCTACTCGCTAGTTTGGTAAATAAATATTTTTTTCCTTTATCACTCTCAATATTTCCAGTGCGTGTCTGGTTCTCCAAACCTTTATGTATCCCAGAAGTTTTCAACTGTCTCTTTCTGGAGACAAGTGTTCATTTTCTTCCGATTTTTCTTAAAATGTCCTTGTTGCTTACATATTCCGTCCATTGTGTTCTCACCATCCTTCTCTAGAACTACATCTCTATTGCCTCAAGCCTTTTCTTCATCTGTGAAGAAAACGTCTAGTATTCACTGCCATGCATGAGGACTGATATAGCATAACAGTTCAAAGTCACACGGAACATTAAAATATGAAGCAATATGGATTAACAAAGGCACACAGATTCGTCATAATACCATGAATAGAATTAAAAGAGAATTCTCTGGGCGTTGTGTTCAGATTAACATGACAAATATTAAATAATCCTAGTTTAGAATTAACGCAAAAAAAAAATAAAGTACGTTTTATGTTATCGCTTCGGCTTATGAATAAGGAAAATCATAATATTTTAATTGGAAGTAATATCAGTAATAAAATGATATTTTAATTCATTTAATGTAACATAAGAAAATAAAAAAAATATTTAAATCATTGTAATGAAATAAGTAATACTTTAATCAACTACGTTTTGGTAATAACAGCCGTTTATTAAAATATTTGATTACTACAAACGAAATTAAATACGACATCTAGTTTATTAAAATAGCATTATTATTATAATTTAAGACGTTTGTCACGATTTAGTTCATTTAATATGACTTACTTCATTACGATAAATTAAATATCACTTATTTTATTAATATCTATTAAATAAATGAAAATATTATTCATTTTATTAAAATTTAGTTAATTAAGTTTTAAAAGAAAATTTAATTTTCCCCATCCACAAAATTTAATTCTCAGGTTTTATGAACTTTTTCTTTATTCCCCGGTTCTCGCATATTTAAAAGGATTTATGTCAAGAAAATTATTTGTTCATTAGATTAAATGACTAAATACTTTTGCACTTGAGATTTACGAGGATTTTTCTTTTGTATGACATCGGCTCTTCTGTCCTCAGTGAGAAGGATTCTACTTTTGCCAAAATGGCTAAAAATACTATTGCAGAGTTATTGGCTAGTTGAATTAAAGTGAATGCCACGTAACAAAGCAATTATTGCGTCTCCTAACACATTAACACTTACACTCCATTTTGCCTGTTAATCCATTAGCACTTCAATATCTGTCTATATATCTGTGATGAAGCATTATGATTACTTATATTATTCGGCATGTTATCCTCATCTTCATTGACATATTCACAACGTTTCAGCCGTTGTACGTCCCGGTCTTCTTCAGGTGATTGGAATTTAGAACACTGTGGGTTCCCCGTGACATGCCTCTTCCGGATGTCTCAGTTATCTCCCTTTAACTCAACTGAAAGATAAACGAAATTGAATACAAATAAATATCTGTGATTCAAAAAGTTTTGGTTCACCACTGCTGATATTGAACTCACAACTCTTTGAGTCTAGTCACTGGATTTCACCAACGCCTTTATCCATTGGGTCATGTGTCCTTGAGGACATCTGGGTATGAATTTCTGGGACTTATAAATAATAATATAAATAATGTAAGTAACCATTAACACTTACACTCCATTTTTCCTCTTAACCCATTAACATTTTAACGCTATTATTTTGCCGGTTACCCCATTAACAACACTTAACAATGGCGCTCCTAAAATGTTTGCACCAAGGTGTGTAAATGGTCGGCAGTTAAGTAGCGTCAACATAGCTCGATTTGTAAGTCAAGTCGGAGATGTCAGTGACACACAGTGAAAGATAAACGAAACCGAATACAAATAGATTATCTGTGATACGAGTGGTGCACAATACACGAGTAATTCAATTCATTATAGTCTCACTTCACATCGTAATATTCAATCAAAAATGGATATTAATTGTTCTTAACTTAAATGCTGCACACACTCTAAGAATATTAAACAACCAATGTTGCAAAGTGAGATATATTTTTCATCACAAATATTTGATATCGGAAGTGATTCAAACAAAGTTATTCCCTATATATTCCGTAGATTCATATTCATCCATTGTTAAAAAGCAGAACAATTGAAAAGTGACTTAGAAAGAAGAGAGTATCTTAACTGTAAGTATCTGTTCGTTAGTTCAATTGTTTATTTTCTTCTTTTCCCATATGCTGAAGTGACTTGAAGCGGCATACATGCTGTTCTACCAATGAAGTTGAACCGCAAGGGAGCCACTTCTGGCCAATTGTGTGAACTTCTCCGGCTTGCAGGTTTGTCCACCAAAATCAAATTCCCGGGAATGACCTCGCCAAACTCTCTTTGACTTCGCTTTCTACCACACTTTAGCAAACACATGGGCGGTGGTCCAGCATGCAACGGAGGCAGGGTCGGTTAGCTGGAGGCCATTAGTCAGCGTTCACGAGTTCGTAGTGGTTGTATCCTTCGCCTCGGTTGGGCGGGTCACATGTCCAGAATGCATCCCACTCGACTCCCACGTATCATCATCTTTGGAGAGCTCGCCAACGGCAAGAGGCTACGCGGAGGTCAAAAACGACGCTTCAGGGATCAGGTGACACATTGTTGCAAATCGGCCTTTCTGGCGTAGGACCATCCGATGGGAAACCGAGACTTTGAGTCCAACCGTCAACATGAAGAGGATAAGCGACGTGCTGTCAAGATGGCTCGACCGACCCCAGCCGCGTCCATACTCCTCTCTGACTCCTGCTTACAACTCTACAGGAGTAAGCTGGGCCTTCACAGCCATCTCTGCCACCGCCACCAGAGGGGAGAAAGGGGGATAAGGAGAAAGAATGACGGTCACGATGCTCGGAATCGAGCAGGTGCTGACTAGATCAAGGAAAATCGGAAGTAATGAAGAATGTGATATTTTAAATCAGAAATAGACATCTGAAATTTCTGGGACACATAATAAAGAAAGGAGGCTTGGAGAATTTAACACACACAGGACATAGTGTAGACAAATTAGGCGGTTGAAAACAGTAACCTACTTAACCAGTTTGTCTGGCAGAACAACGAAAAAGCGGAATTTCTAATTTCAATGCTACCTGATGTTAGCAAGATAACTTTAGAATAACACCATTTTGAACTCTCACAACTGGCGGGTTCGTAAGATCAAAAGCTTTGCGAATTGATCGTTTGATTACTATTCTTGCATTTTTCAAACGTCTGTTAAAAAGTAATGTGTGTTCTTTAATTAGAATTGACATCGTTATCAATTTGCATCACCGGGTGTGGCCACAGGGTTGAGGTGCAACTAAATACCTGTCGACTTCTCTGCACGTATCTGAGTTGATAGCCAGAGAGGTATTCATTCATGCGTAGCGACTTGGAAAAGTAGACCTAGTGAAGCCGATCCCTCCTCCAACATGAAGGCTCGTCTTGGCTACGAACAAGTAGTCGTTGTTTCCATCGGGAGAACCGTCCGCTCCGGCCGTCGACATCAGTCTAGGAAACACCCTGCTCTGTGTCATCAACGCACTGGTTGCATATATAGCTATGGAGCCTAGTCTACACTATTGTGCTAGATTACCGTCCATTTTACAAGAAAGTTCATCCACCAAGTCTTGTTTTTAAGTGTCTAGACGCCTCCATCACTGGAAAAGATTGGTAGGTGAACCGGTTTAATTCTCCGATGTCCGGACTATGCGGTGAAAAGTAGTGGGTTACATGGTGCCAGTACACTTGTAGAATGACGTGACATAAAATGGAACAACGATAGAAGCGAAGACAATGAACTCAAAACTTTCAGGATTCCAAATCTAGACTTCGGCAATGTCTCCTTATTTTTTTAATCGTGGTATTCTACTACAGAATAATGGTCATGTATTCTCTTTTCGTAGAAACTGATTTCTTCGCTATGTACGAATTGCCTCTTTCACTTAATCACCACTGAAGAACTGCTGTGCATTGGGCGATTTCTTAATGGGCTCAAGCAAATAAAAGTCTGAGAGTGCTAAATCAGAAGTGAACGTGGAGGAAAAAAATGATCTGCCTATGGGCTTTGATTGCTTGTCTCTTCTTTAACCTATTCCCAAGTAGGTTAATTTAGAGTTATGAAGGGCATAGGGGAGGAGTTTTTGTTCATCGACTTTAAAATGCCATAGAACTCCAAATAAAGGCATACATTGTTTTGAAAGCTTGTCAGTTTATTTGTTTTCCATTTTATATTTTAAATTTTCATTGGGTCTGGAACTATTGGCGTCATATTGACTTTTGATGACGTCACTACTTGTACATAATTTTTTCAGCTTAATTTCTAGATTTGTATTTTTTTCGGCAGATTTTATTTATAACAGAATCGTTTGTGAACACATAATTAAAAAAAATATATTTTTCAGCTTTTTTGTAATTTTCTGTCATCAGCATAATTAAAATATTTGCTAAATTCAATGTTTTCTTGTTAAATATTGCTGGTAGGATTTTAGTCAACCAGTGTACACGTTCCTTCAAAAATGACGAAGTGTTAATAGTAAGATATAATGAAACAAAAGTCTTGAAACAATATATAGTGATTCAATAGAGATAAAAAAATTCAAAACTATAATAGAGGCCAATTAACTGTTTAATTAATCTCTTCCCTTGATATTTTAGACGGTCAATGGTATCTATGGTTCATTAATTATTCCAAGTCTTATGTGAATCGCTTTTATTTTACTCAATATCTTTTCAAGTTAGTAATTTTAAGTGTTTAATGTGTTTAATTTCCATTATTACTGTTTTACTAATCTTTTTCTCCCGAGGCATATTTCCATTTTACTAACAGTCAAACGGGAATATCTCGCGAAAGAAAAAGATTAGTAACAAAAAAACGGCGTCAACAAAGTCTTCAACGAAAAAGTCTATTTCAAGACCAAGTTGAAGTAAGGTGTTCACTTAATAGACAAATGTATATGAGTGCCTCACATGAAAGGCTTTAATAAATAAGACTGCACTCTAAGAAATGTAGAAGTAAAGGAACTGATTAATTAAACGGTTCATTTTGCTCGTGAACTAACTTTGTCTAAATGCAGATAAATATTTTATTTTTATAGATTATTAAAACAATTAAATGAAGTAATGACTTATAAATTATTAATTCACATCCCTTCCTAGTACAGATAGGACAGGAAATAGATAAATAAATACACAGTGATAATCATTATATGGTTTGATTATGCTTTTATTTTCGTGGCCATTTTCATTTCCACGACATTTTGGTTTTAGTAATATATTTGGAGTTTCAATACCTCAACCACAAAATGGATGTATCAATTTATAAGTGTGAACGGGCAATAAAGCATCCCTCCGCTACTAAGATAGGCTTAAGCTGCTATGAAAGGTTGTCTTACCATATTGCATGAGGTACATTATTACACATCTTCAAAAGTTTTGAACAACTTTCGAAATAGCCTCGCCTTGAATTTTGAAAATATGCTCTCGTGGGTAACAGGACTGATAGCGATGTCATTGGGCATAAATTCTGACAGATCTTTTTTTTTTCTAGCCTCAGACACAGTGGCCATCAATTTCATTGCGGAGCCGACTGCCTTATTTTTTCTTACTGGGTGAGTCCAGGTATTGTCACTTTATCAATTTTTACATTATGGTAATGATCTCAACTCCTCTGACTATCGAGCTTCGTGTGGAACCATCAGTATTACGCAGTTTCAGAAGATTTCTGGTAATAAACAGCATCTACATCTTCATGGAGCCTATAAGAAACAACTTTGCATAGGCCTTTGAGTACCCCAACGACTGCTCTAAAATGCAAGAACTGAAAAAAGCCCATAGGAAAGATTTCACAAAAGTGATTATTTTCTCAGCATCATCCTATTTGGTCTTTTCCTCATTCAGAGCAACAGCAGCAGCAGGAGCAGCAGGCTTACCACTGCTGAGCCTGTCACTAATTTAATTTTTTTTCCTTTTTAGAATTGCTATTAAATCGACTGATGTAACTTCCTGTACAGTTTTAACATAAATATTCACTTTCTTGTGGATGTTTCCCTTTCTACACTCAAAAACAGAAAATCCTGACGTTTTTTTTTTTTTTGCTTTCTACGTGTGTACAGCTGAGAAACTATTTTGAAAAAAAAATTATAGGTTGTAAAGGAGAAAGTAAATTAATAAAAATTCCCATCGAATTATGGACTATAGGCAAATAAATAAAAAGAATAAATACATTACGAAAATTAAATATATTTCTGAACTGGATTTGGATTTGACGAGATAGTGCTACTGAGTAGACAACTGACATTGTCGGAAAAATGTTTATAATGTAAGAATTATATTAAAATTACAACGGGTAAAAAGGGAAGTGCAAAGAGTTAGCAAAATAAATAAGCAGGAATGTAAAATAAATAATATATATATATATATATATATATATATATATATATATATATATATATGACCAGGGGAATTCAGAGCAGCATAGATCCATCCAGCTCTTATCTCAAATAAAAAAAAAAAAAAAGAAAAAGAAAACAAAACAAATGAAAACTACAGATAAAAGTTCATTTTCTCCATCAAGACATTCATTTCTGTAGTTTACTGCTACCAGCAAGCAGAAATATTTCTTCTCCTGATGATGGCCATTTTGACCGAAATTAGTCGAGGAATCTAAAGGAAATAATAATAATAAAAACGAAAGAATATTGATCTACAACCCAGTGTGTCTGAAGATTTTAATTTTTTATTGTTCAATATATATATATATATATATATATATATATATATATATATATATATATGGAGAGACAGAGATAAATAGATAGATAGATAAAAATAGCGCATTTTTACTTCTGTAATATATAGAGAAAGGGAATACATTATAAAATATTTACTCTTTATGGAGCCTGCCCTTCAAAACTTGTCTTTCTTTCTTTCTTTCTTTCTTTCTTTCTTTCTTTCTTTCTTTCACTCAAATTCGTTCTTTCAATCATTCACATTCTGACACTCTCTTTCTGAAGAAATACACACAAACACATACATCCAAATATATATATGTGTGTGTGTGTGTGTGTGTGTGTGTGTGTGTGTGTGTGTGTGTGTGTGTGTACACGCGCCCGTGTGTTTGTATACAAACGAAAATTAACGAAAAATTTAAATTGTAGCGGTTTGAATATGTCTCAATTTACCTAAGATTAAACGTTTAGAAGACACTAAATGATCAGAGATACAGATCAATATGCAAGTTCCAACATAAGTGCTATTATATAGTATTTATATGATCCAATATAAGTATTATTAAATATTACTTATATTATCCTATATAACTACTATTTATATGCCAATACACTTAAGAGGGGTTGTTTTTTTTTTGTCGGACTTTTCTTTCCTTAGACGACCACATCTTTCCCTGCTTCCATGATTTAGGAATTCAGAGCTTTTCTTTACTTAGACTTGTGGCCAATCAATGTTGAAGAGACTAGTCTGCCCTACTATTTAACACAGGGCTGGAGGAAGTAAAGATGGATTCATATGTTTTCTGAAGATATTTACGCGTAAGTGAATTTAACAAACTCGAGCCGCTAAAAATTGCATCTCTTGCACACCCCGTCTCATAAATATTCAGTAAAAGACAAGGCCGGAAATTGCTCCCTCTAGAGAAGTTTTCCTATATTTTGTATAGCATGTTAAGTAGTACGGATATCATGTGGGCAGGTATTATCCTGCTGGAGAAATGTTCTGAACGTATATAACACGTTCTCCCGACAAGCATCCAAGGCGATAAAGTGGTTCAACTTATGGCACCATACTCGCTGTTTATTTTAGCGAATGCACACTGAAAAATATCGTTCTCTAGGCTCATATTTGCTGTGTTGCACCTAGGTAACTTTACATGTGAAACTTTTTGCATAGATGCATAATCGCCAATATACAGGGTCTCCACAAAGTCTTTAGACAATTTCAAAAGCCATTACGAAAAACTTAGAAAAAACTAAATTTTTGTTGCATATTAATATTTTATTATTAAAGTTATTTTAATGATATTACTACATTTATTAATATTATGTTTTTATATTTGAGACCACAATTAATGTTGTTTTTATGTTTCAGATCGTAATTAAAGAATTTCCAAGAATTACTCCTAAAATTGCATGACAATAACTACTCCACAAGAAAAGGCGCAATTTTATTGAAAATAAGCCGGACATTCAAATATGAAGAAATTACCACATCTTAATATGGAAAACAAGCCCCAATGACTTGGATGAAGTAAATAATAAAGCGGTCATTGCAACTATTGATAAAAGTATGTTAAGAAATGGACAAAAACTGAATATCGCTTAGATGTCCTTATAAGGAATGGAGCCCATATAAAAATTTCCAAACTATTTGCATATAAACTTCACTATTTACTTCATATTATGTCAACATTTCAACAGTATCCAGTTTCCGTTGCAATTTTAATCTATTTTTCTATTTGTCTAATGACTTTGTGGACACCATAGACTTTTTAATTTATTCGAACTATTGTTGTCATCTTAATTATTGGTAAAAAGAATTTGTTTTGTAACAAGACCTCGTCGAAATGTTTTAGTCTTAATATCTGTATGATCATGTAATTTAAATGAAATGTATTTTAGCGGCAATCATTACTGAAAACAAGTCTTACTAAAACGACTTATTAAAAAGACATATTAAAATTAGATTTAATAGATATTAAATTTATTAATCATTTTTTATGTCCATTAATCGTTTTTCGCAAATATGGTTGTTGTAGATATAAAAAATAACCGAACTTTGTATTAAGTGTAAGCTTTCGACTTGCTTGAGTCATCGTCAGTTGTGTGAGAAAGTAAAGAGAAGGAAAGACAATCCAAGAAATTTTAAGTAGTGCATTGTTTAAAAAGTGTCATTATATTTTATTTGAAAGTTAAATCCATTGAAGCAGTACGCATTAAATTTCATTTTGATTATTATGGATGTTATAACGGATAAAACGTTTTGGCTAAGTACCCTTTTGCCTTCATCAGGATTTCATTGGCTGATATGAAATATCCGTTGAGTATTGTGCTATATTATCCTTGTGATACTAGATCTTGTTCGTTTCTGCTGAACCAGTGTTTCATTGCATGATCCATGGATTGAACACACGACCACAATATGACAGTAACATATGTTGAAACAAAAGCTCCAAAAATAAACCATTGATATCTTCTTATAGATCTATAATAATTAAAATAAGAACAATAGTTGGAATGAAAAAAAAAGTATATTGACATGCGATGTTTTTATTTTTCGAGTAGTGGTTTATTTGGTGGAAAATGGCGGTGCTAGTCTTCATTAATTGTGTTTCTTGTTCGACATTCCAACGACCTGAAGAGGGCCGGAGCGTACAACGGCCGAAACGTTGTGATAGATATGGCGAAAAAGATGAGGACAATAGTGCGAATAATAATGATTTAGTGATAAAAGACTTATTACTTACTCCATACATGGGGGTTGGGGAGGAGAGACACTGATTCATACCTTCCCAAACTGGAATTGAAACTCGGCTCCACGATTAACAATTCAGAGACATTATCTATTACACCATTGGTACATCCAAGCTTACAACACCTGGTATTCCCAAGCTGTCACCCATCAACGCATTGACCAAGCTCGACGTTGCTTAACTTCGGTGATCGTGCAGGAACCGTTGCGCCAACGTAATGCTTTGCTTGGTTAGTTGTATATTATTTTTATTTTTACATAGTTTATTTTCTAGGATTTTTACATTTTTTTAAAAGTTTGTTTGGTTTTATTTCTCTTTTGATTTTTTTTCAGATTTTGCAGTTTATTTTTAGTCGAGTAAAACTCTGAGATGTTGAGAAAAAAAAGCCAAGTTGTAAATTTATGAAAGAAATGTGAATACCTATTTTTCAAGCCACGCCACATTAAACGTTTGGTGTGCTTTCTGTCACAAATATCTCGCTTGATTTCAAATTAAAACCTACATTTTTACGCACACGTTTGCATTGAAAATTACAAAGTTTTCATTCACAATACGTAAAAATCCAAAAACGTATGAGCCTGCCCACAAACATACCCCTCCCCCTCCCTCTCTCTCTCTCTCTCTCTGTATGTGTGTAATACACGTTCATGTGATAAAATTCTGTATGCATTAGTGTGCAATAAAACGTATTCGTTGTAAACGTGTTTGTGTGTGTGTCTATTTTGTGTGTCTATATGTGTGCCATAAAAATGTGCATGGGTTGGTAAAAAAGGATATCTGCGTATACTTATGTGCGTATGCTTAATGAGAAATCATGCGAGTGTTTAATGGAAGCATACATGTTTATACACGTAAACATGTGTGTATACACGTACACATGTGCGCATCGTGAGGTTTGTCTGTGCGTCTGCATGCATGTGTGTTTATGGCTATTTTCTAAGCGTAGCTTAGATGTGGCACAAGGCCAATAGTATGGAGCATTCAGTAAGGACCCAACTCACTACTCAGTTGTAATCATTCTAGAAAAACAAGCTTGCTAACCACTACACCGCATCGAGGTGCCCCAAATTATTTTATAAGCTTAGTTTAGATGTGACACAAGGCCGAACTTACTACTAAGTTGTAAATGATCTAGCGAGACAAGCTTGCTAAACATCACACCGTGGCCTGCATGTGTACCTATGTACGTGTACCTAAGTGTGATGGATGTTTTATTAAAGCTCTTCAAGGAATTAGCAGCTTCAAGTGGCTGGTCGGTCAGTCGACATTGCCGGATATTCAGAAGAATGAAAAGAAAGACCAAGTTTTGGCAATCACGAATCTATTAATAGCGGCACGCGAATCTCACACGCGTTCAGAAGTTTCCCACGTGTCAATGGCTGAATAGGCGAAGGAATGAAAGACTTCGGGTTTTCAGAAGTTCGGCTTAATACATATATATTTCCCCTAACCCTCAAAAGAAAGAAACAGTGCGCTCACACACGCATACACTATCAAATCCCACTAAGGCACTGGTTCTTGTTAAATCACTGAAGTTAAACAACTGTCAAGCCTATTCGGTACTTCGATGAGGGAGTGTTTGGTAACACTCCGTCCTGTAAGAGGTCATATCGTCGTGATATTGTTTTTAAAATCATTTTACCCCAAGTAAGAAGATGAAGTCACTAAGATGTAAGATTGTTGTGAGTTAAGAGAATGAGAAGAATTTAGTGAGAAATAACAATGAAAAAAAAAAAAAAAAGAATTCAGGAAGAAGATGGCGATTGATCGTAGGTGACAGATCGTACTCTCTTCCAGATTACGATCTGGAAGAGAGTTTCACAGGCGACAAGTGCTAGAAAAGAAACTATTCGAATATAACTTACGGCTACATCTAACTATTTCAACAGTGAAACGTTGAGATGTAGTTGCCGATCTAGCAGTAAAGTTTAAATTAATTTAATCGAGATACTAAAGGAAGTAAGTTCCTCAGAACAATTGTGATGAAAATATTTATAGAAAAGATGGTGGGAAATGGGTGATCTCGATGTGCCAGGTCAGGATAGATAACATTATAGAATCTTTGGATTTTTTTTGAGAATCTCGTGATATATAGCAGGAGAATCGAACGAAATATTCGATGCACGGACGAATGGTAGATTTATAAATGTGCAATATGGATTTTGGAGAGAATGGAATCTAATGCAGCAGAGACAGTCTGCAATTATTTTCATTGGTTCTTATCATTGGATTAAGTCTATTTAGATTCAACATAGTGTTATGCAAACTATGTTTGACCATAAACAATTAGCAGGTTTCCGGACATTGGCGGCGGAAGCGTCCTATTCACCACGCCCTGTTTTGAGGGTGTCCTTGTGCTGCAAGTAAGCAACATTATATATATATATATATATATATATATATATATATATATATATATATATATATATATATATAAGGCAGGATGTGTGTGTGTGTGTGTAACGAATTCACGGCCGCAATTTTCACCAAAATTTACATGCACATGCTCCAAGTTAGTGGGAAGGCC